TGAGTGTCTAAATGAGTGTCTAAGTGAGTGAGTGAGTGTGAGTGGGTGAGTGTCTGAGTGAGTGTCTGAGTGAGTGAGTGTCTAAGTGAGTGTCTAAGTGAGTGTCTAAGTGAGTGAGTGAGTGTCTAAGTGAGTGAGTGTCTAAGTGAGTGTCTAAGTGAGTGAGTGAGTGTATGAGTGAGTGGATGACTGAGTGAGTGTCTAAGTGAGTGTCTAAGTGAGTGAGTGAGTGTTTAAGTGAGTGTCTAAGTGAGTGTCTAAGTGTCTAAGTGAGTGTCTAAGCGAGTGTCTGAGTGTCTAGGTGAGTGTCTGAGTGTTTAGGTGAGTGTCTAAGTGAGTGTCTAAGTGAGTGACTGAGTGAGTGTCTAAGTGAGTGACTGAGTGAGTGGCTAAATGAGTGTCTAAATGAGTGTCTAAGTGAGTGAGTGAGTGTCTGAGTGAGTGTCTGAGTGACTGAGTGAGTGTCTGAGTGAGTGAGTGTCTAAGTGAGTGTCTAAGTGAGTGAGTGAGCGCCTAAGTGAGTGTCTACGTGAGTCTCTGAGTGAGTGTCTGAGTGAGCGAGTGTCTAAGTGAGTGAGTGTCTGAGTGAGTGAGTGTCAGAGTGAGTGTCTGAGTGAGTGTCTGAGTGAGTGTCTGAGTGAGTGAGTGTCTGAGTGAGTGTCTAAGTGAGTGAGTGTCTGAGTGTCTGAGTGAGAGAGTGTCTGAGTGACTGAGTAAGCGAGTGAGTGAGTGACTGAGTGTCTGAGTGAGTGTCAGAGTGAGTGAGTGTCTGAGTGAGTGAGTGTGTGAGTGAGTGAGTGTGTGAGTGAGTGTGTGGGTGAGTGTATGAGTGAGTGACTGAGTGAGTGCGTGTCTGAGTGAGTGTCTAAGTGAGTGAGTGAGTGTCTAAGTGAGTGTCTAAGTGAGTGAGTGAGTGAGTGAGTGTCTAAGTGAGTGTCTAAGTGAGTGTCTAAGTGAGTGTCTAAGTGAGTGAGTGTGTAAGTGAGTGTCTAAGTGAGGGAGTGAGTGTCTAAGTGAGTGAGTGAGTGTCTAAGTGAGTGTCTAAGTGAGGGAGTGAGTGTCTAAGTGAGTGAGTGAGTGTCTAAGTGAGTGTCTAAGTGAGGGAGTGAGTGTCTAAGTGAGTGAGTGAGTGTTTAAGTGAGTGTCTAAATGAGTGTCTAAGTGAGTGTCTAAGTGAATGAGTGTCTAAGTGAGTGTCTAAGTGAGTGTCTAAGTGAATGAGTGTCTAAGTGAGTGTCTAAGTGTCTAAGTGAGTGTCTAAGTGAGTGTCTAAGTGAGTGTCTAAGTGAGTGTCTAAGTGTCTAAGTGAGTGTCTAAGTGAGTGTCTAAGTGAGTGAGTGAGTGTCCAAGTGTCTAAGTGAGTGTCTAAGTGTCTAAGTGAGTGTCTAAGTGAGTGTCTAAGTAAGTGTCTAAGTGAGTGTCTAAGTGAGTGTCTAAGTGTCTAAGTGAGTGTCTAAGTGAGTGTCTAAGTGAGTGTCTAAGTGAGTGAGTGAGTGTCTAAGTGAGTGTCTAAGTGAGTGTCTAAGTGAGTGAGTGAGTGTCTAAGTGAGTGTCTAAGTGAGTGTATAAGTGAGTGTCTAAGTGAGTGTCTAAGTGGGTGTCTAAGTGAGTGAGTGAGTGTCTAAGTGAGTGTCTAAGTGAGTGTTTAAATGAGTGAGTGAGTGTCTAAGTGAGTGTTTAAGTGAGTGTCTAAGTGAGTGTTTAAGTGAGTGAGTGTGTAAGTGAGTGTCTAAGTGAGTGAGTGTATGAGTGAGAGAGTGACTGAGTGAGTGAGTGTCTGAGTGAGTGAGTGTCTGAGTGAGCGAGTGTCTGAGTGAGTGAGTGTCTGAGTGAGTGTCTGAGTGAGTGAGTGACTGAGTGAGTGAGTGTCTGAGTGAGAGAGTGTCTGAGTGAGTGACTGAGTGAGTGTCTGAGTGAGTGAGTGTCTGAGAGAGTGACTGAGTGAGTGTCTGAGTGTCTGAGTGAGTGAGTGTCAGAGTGAGTGTCTGAGTGAGTAAGTGAGTGAGTGTCTGAGTGAGTGAGTGTCTGAGTGAGTGAGTGTCTAAGTGAGTGTCTAAGTGAGTGTCTAAGTGAGTGTTTAAATGAGTGAGTGTGTAAGTGAGTGTCTAAGTGAGTGAGTGTGTGAGTGAGTGGGTGACTGAGTGAGTGTCTAAGTGAGTGTCTAAGTGAGTGTCCAAGTGAGTGTCTAAGTGAGTGAGTGAGTGTCTAAATGAGTGTCTAAGTGAGTGAGTGAGTGTGAGTGGGTGAGTGTCTGAGTGAGTGTCTAAGTGAGTGAGTGTCTAAGTGAGTGTCTAAGTGAGTGTCTAAGTGAGTGAGTGAGTGTCTAAGTGAGTGAGTGTCTAAGTGAGTGTCTAAGTGAGTGAGTGAGTGTATGAGTGAGTGGATGACTGAGTGAGTGTCTAAGTGAGTGTCTAAGTGAGTGAGTGAGTGTTTAAGTGAGTGTCTAAGTGAGTGTCTAAGTGTCTAAGTGAGTGTCTAAGCGAGTGTCTGAGTGTCTAGGTGAGTGTCTGAGTGTTTAGGTGAGTGTCTAAGTGAGTGTCTAAGTGAGTGACTGAGTGAGTGTCTAAGTGAGTGACTGAGTGAGTGGCTAAGTGAGTGTCTAAGTGAGTGTCTAAGTGAGTGAGTGAGTGTCTGAGTGAGTGTCTGAGTGAGTGAGTGTCTAAGTGAGTGTCTAAGTGAGTGAGTGAGTGCCTAAGTGAGTGTCTACGTGAGTCTCTGAGTGAGTGTCTGAGTGAGTGAGTGTCAGAGTGAGTGTCTGAGTGAGTGTCTGAGTGAGTGAGTGTCTGAGTGAGTGTCTAAGTGAGTGAGTGTCTGAGTGTCTGAGTGAGAGAGTGTCTGAGTGACTGAGTAAGCGAGTGTCTGAGTGAGTGAGTGTCTGAGTGAGTGTCAGAGTGAGTAAGTGTCTGAGTGAGTAAGTGAGTGAGTGTCTGAGTGACTGAGTGAGTGACTGAGTGAGTGAGTGTCTGAGTGAGTGAGTGTCTGAGTGAGTGAGTGTCAGAGTGAGTGTCAGAGTGAGTGTCTGAGTGAGTGAGTGTCTGAGTGAGTGAGTGTCTGAGTGAGTGTCAAAGTGAGTGAGTGTCTGAGTGAGTGAGTGAGTGTGTGGGTGAGTGTATGAGTGAGTGAGTGACTGAGTGAGTGCGTGTCTGAGTGAGTGTCTAAGTGAGTGAGTGAGTGTCTAAGTGAGTGTCTAAGTGAGTGAGTGTCTAAGTGAGTGTCTAAGTGAGTGTCTAAGTGAGTGAGTGAGTGTCCAAGTGTCTAAGTGAGTGTCTAAGTGTCTAAGTGAGTGTCTAAGTGAGTGTTTCAGTAAGTGTCTAAGTGAGTGTCTAAGTGAGTGTCTAAGTGTCTAAGTGAGTGTCTAAGTGAGTGTCTAAGTGAGTGTCTAAGTGAGTGAGTGAGTGTCTAAGTGAGTGTCTAAGTGAGTGTCTAAGTGAGTGAGTGAGTGTCTAAGTGAGTGTCTAAGTGAGTGTCTAAGTGGGTGTCTAAGTGAGTGAGTGAGTGTCTAAGTGAGTGTCTAAGTGAGTGTCTAAGTGAGTGTCTAAGTGAGTGTTTAAATGAGTGAGTGAGTGTCTAAGTGAGTGTCTAAGTGAGTGTTTAAGTGAGTGAGTGTGTAAGTGAGTGTCTAAGTGAGTGAGTGTATGAGTGAGAGAGTGACTGAGTGAGTGAGTGTCTGAGTGAGTGAGTGTCTGAGTGAGCGAGTGTCAGAGTGAGTGAGTGAGTGACTGAGTGAGTGAGTGTCTGAGTGAGAGAGTGTCTGAGTGAGTGACTGAGTGAGTGTCTGAGTGAGTGAGTGTCTGAGAGAGTGACTGAGTGAGTGTCTGAGTGTCTGAGTGATTGAGTGTCAGAGTGAGTGTCTGAGTGAGTAAGTGAGTGAGTGTCTGAGTGAGTGAGTGTCTGAGTGAGTGAGTGTCTAAGTGAGTGTCTAAGTGAGTGTCTAAGTGAGTGTTTAAATGAGTGAGTGTGTAAGTGAGTGTCTAAGTGAGTGAGTGTGTGAGTGAGTGGGTGACTGAGTGAGTGTCTAAGTGAGTGTCTAAGTGAGTGTCCAAGTGAGTGTCTAAGTGAGTGAGTGAGTGTCTAAATGAGTGTCTAAGTGAGTGAGTGAGTGTGAGTGGGTGAGTGTCTGAGTGAGTGTCTGAGTGAGTGAGTGTCTAAGTGAGTGTCTAAGTGAGTGTCTAAGTGAGTGAGTGAGTGAGTGTCTAAGTGAGTGAGTGTCTAAGTGAGTGTCTAAGTGAGTGAGTGAGTGTATGAGTGAGTGGATGACTGAGTGAGTGTCTAAGTGAGTGTCTAAGTGAGTGAGTGAGTGTCTAAGTGAGTGTCTAAGTGAGTGTCTAAGTGTCTAAGTGAGTGTCTAAGTGAGTGTCTAAGTGAGTGTCTAAGTGAGTGTCTGAGTGTCTAGGTGAGTGTCTAAGTGAGTGTCTAAGTGAGTGACTGAGTGAGTGTCTAAGTGAGTGACTGAGTGAGTGGCTAAGTGAGTGTCTAAGTGAGTGAGTGAGTGTCTGAGTGAGTGTCTGAGTGACTGAGTGAGTGTCTGAGTGAGTGAGTGTCTAAGTGAGTGGGTGAGTGACTGAGTGAGTGAGTGTCTGAGTGAGTGAGTGAGTGACTGACTGAGTGAGTGAGTGTCTAAGTGAGTGTCTAAGTGAGTGTCTAAGTGAGTGTCCCACTCACCTCTGTTCCACCGGTTAGTGTCTTAGACAGAAGGACACGTGCCAGGTGAGTGTCTAAGTGAGTGTCTAAGTGAGTGTCTAAGTGAGTGTCTAAGTGAGTGAGTGTCTAAGTGAGTGTCTAAGTGAGTGAGTGTCTAAGTGAGTGTCCCACTCACCTCTGTACCACCGGTGAGTGTCTTAGACAGAAGGACACGTACCAGGTGAGTGTCTAAGTGAGTGTCTAAGTGTCTAAGTGAGTGGGTGAGTGACTGAGTGAGTGAGTGTCTGAGTGAGTGACTGACTGAGTGAGTGACTGACTGAGTGAGTGTCTAAGTGAGTGAGTGTCTAAGTCCCACTCACCTCTGTACCACCGGTGAGTGTCTTAGACAGAAGGACACGTGCCAGTCCATCTTGGCAGTAGTCAAATGCCGTGATCACCAACCTCATCAAGAGCTCCTGAGTCTTATCTGAGCTGAGACGCAGCAGCCTAGAGAGGCAGTCACTCAGTCAGTCACTCAGTCAGTCACTCAGTCAGTCACTCAGTCAGTCAGTCACTCAATCAGTCACTCAGTCAGTCACTCAGTCAGTCACTCACTCATCAAGAGCTCCTGAGTCTTATCTGAGCTGAGACGCAGCAGCCTAGAGAGGCAGTCACTCAGTCAGTCACTCAGTCAGTCAGTCACTCAGTCAGTCACTCAGTCAGTCAGTCAGTCAGTCACTCAGACACTCAGTCACTCAGTCACTCACTCAGTCAGTCACTCAGTCACTCAGTCAATCACTCAGTCAGTCACTCAGTCAGTCAGTCAGTCACTCAGTCAGTCACTCAGTCACTCAGTCAGTCAGTCACTCAGTCAGTCACTCAGTCAGTCACTCAGTCAGTCACTCAGTCACTCAGTCAGTCAGTCACTCAGTCAGTCACTCAGTCAGTCACTCAGTCACTCAGTCACTCAGTCAGTCACTCAGTCAGTCACTCAGTCACTCAGTCAGTCAGTCACTCAGTCAGTCACTCAGTCAGTCACTCAGTCAGTCACTCAGTCACTCAGTCAGTCAGTCACTCAGTCAGTCACTCAGTCAGTCACTCAGTCACTCAGTCACTCAGTCAGTCACTCAGTCAGTCACTCAGTCACTCAGTCAGTCAGTCACTCAGTCAGTCACTCAGTCAGTCACTCAGTCACTCAGTCAGTCAGTCACTCAATCAGTCACTCAGTCAGTCACTCAGTCACTCAGTCAGTCAGTCACTCAGTCAGTCAGTCAGTCACTCAGTCAGTCACTCAGTCAGTCAGTCACTCAGTCAGTCACTCAGTCAGTCACTCATCAAGAGCTCCTGAGTCTTATCAGCGCTGAGATGCAGCAGCCTACAAAGGCAGTCACTCAGTCAGTCACTCAGTCAGTCAGTCACTCAGTCAGTCACTCAGTCAGTCAGTTACTCAGTCAGTCAGTCACTCAGTCAGTCACTCAGTCACTCAGTCAGTCACTCAGTCAGTCACTCAGTCACTCACTCAGTCAGTCAGTCAGTCACTCAGTCAGTCAGTCACTCAGTCACTCAGTCAGTCACTCAGTCAGTCACTCAGTCAGTCACTCAGTCAGTCAATCAGTCAGTCACTCAGTCAGTCACTCAGTCAGTCAGTCACTCAGTCAGTCACTCAGTCAGTCAGTCAGTAAGTCACTCAGTCAGTCAGTCACTCAGTCAGTCACTCAGGCAGTCAGTCAGTCACTCAGTCAGTCACTCAGTCATTTACTCACTCACTCACTCAGTCACTCAGTCAGTCACTCACTCAGTCAGTTACTCAGTCAGTTACTCACTCACTCAGTCAGTCACTCACTCAGTCACTCAGTCAGTCACTCACTCAGTCAGTCACTTACTCAGTCACTCACTCAATTACTCACTCAGTCAGTCAGTCACTCAGTCAGTCAGTCACTCAGTCAGTCACTCAGTCAGTCAGTCACTCAGTCAGTCACTCAGTCACTCACTCAGTCACTCACTCAGTAGTGGTAGTGCCGTGTGTCACTGTGAGTGAGTGGTGCTAGTGCTAGTGCCGTGTGTCACTGTGAGTGGTGCTAGTGCTAGTGCCGTGTGTCACTGTGAGTGGTGCTAGTGGTAGTGCCGTGTGTCACTGTGAGTGGTGCTAGTGCTAGTGCCGTGTGTCACTGTGAGTGAGTGGTGCTAGTGGTAGTGCCGTGTGTCACTGTGAGTGGTGCTAGTGGTAGTGCCGTGTGTCACTGTGAGTGGTGCTAGTGCTAGTGCCGTGTGTCACTGTGAGTGGTGGTAGTGCTAGTGCCGTGTGTCACTGTGAGTGAGTGGTGCTAGTGCTAGTGCCGTGTGTCACTGTGAGTGGTGGTAGTGGTAGTGCCGTGTGTCACTGTGAGTGGTGCTAGTGGTAGTGCCGTGTGTCACTGTGAGTGAGTGGTGCTAGTGGTAGTGCCGTGTGTCACTGTGAGTGGTGCTAGTGCTAGTGCCGTGTGTCACTGTGAGTGAGTGGTGCTAGTGCTAGTGTCGTGTGTCACTGAGTGAGTGGTGCTAGTGGTAGTGCCGTGTGTCACTGTGAGTGGTGCTAGTGCTAGTGCCGTGTGTCACTGTGAGTGGTGGTAGTGGTAGTGCCGTGTGTCACTGTGAGTGGTGCTAGTGGTAGTGCCGTGTGTCAGAGCCTCACATCTGAAACACCCCAGCCTTCTCCAGGGCTCTGAGTCCGTGGCTGTGTGCAGTCAGCAATCCCAGGATCAGCCAGTCAGTCAGTCAGTCACTCACTCAGTCAGTCAGTCAGTCACTCAGTCACTCAGTCAGTCACTCAGTCACTCAGACAGTCACTCAGTCAGTCACTCAGTCACTCACTCAGTCATTCAGTCAGTCACTCAGACACTCAGTCAGTCACTCAGTCACTCACTCAGTCATTTACTCACTCACTCAGTCACTCAGTCACTCACTCAATTACTCACTCACTCAGTCACTCAGTCACTCACTCAGTAGTGCTAGTGCCGTGTGTCAATGTGAGTGAGTGGTGGTAGTGGTAGTGCCGTGTGTCAGAGCCTCACATCTGAAACACCCCAGCCTTCTCCAGGGCTCTGAGTCCGTGGCTGTGTGCAGTCAGCGATCCCAGGATCAGCCAGTCACTCAGTCAGTCAGTCACTCAGTCACTGAGTCAGTCAGTCAGTCACTCAGTCAGTCACTCAGTCAGTCAGTCACTCAGTCAGTCAGTCAGTCACTCAGTCACTCAGTGAGTCACTCAGTCACTCAGTGAGTCACTCAGTCACTCAAACACTCAGTCAGTCACTCACTCAATTACTCACTCACTCAGTCACTCAGTCACTCACTCAGTAGTGCTAGTGCCGTGTGTCACTGAGTGGTGCTAGTGGTAGTGCCGTGTGTCAGAGCCTCACATCTGAAACACCCCAGCCTTCTCCAGGGCTCTGAATCCGTGGCTGTGTGCAGTCAGCGATCCCAGGATCAGCCAGTCACTCAGTCAGTTAGTCAGTCACTCAGTCAGTCAGTCAGTCACACAGTCAGTCACTCAGACAGTCAGTCACTCAGTCACTCATTCATTCACTCAGTCAGTCACTCACTCAGTCACTCAGTCACTCACTCAATTACTCAGTCAGTCAGTCAGTCACTCAGACACTCAGTCAGTCACTCACTCAGACACTCAGTCACTCAGTCACTCAAACACTCAGTCAGTCACTCACTCAATTACTCACTCAGTCAGTCAGTCATTCACTCAGTCATTCAGTCACTCAGTCAGTCAGTAGTGGTAGTGCCGTGTGTCACTGTGAGTGAGTGGTGCTAGTGGTAGTGCCGTGTGTCAGAGCCTCACATCTGAAACACCCCAGCCTTCTCCAGGGCTCTGAGTCCGTGGCTGTGGACAGTCAGCGATCCCAGGATCAGCCAGTCACTCAGTTAGTCAGTCACTCAGTCAGTCAGTCAGGCAGTCAGTCAGTCACTCAGTCAGTCAGTCACTCAGTCAGTCACTCAGTCATTCACTCAGTCAGTCAGTCAGACACTCACTCAGTCATTCACTCACTCAGTCAGTCACTCAGACAGTCACTCAGTCACTCACTCAATTACTCACTCACTCAGTCACTCAGTCACTCACTCAATTACTCACTCAGTCAGTCAGTAGTGCTAGTGCTGTGTGTCACTGTGAGTGAGTGGTGCTAGTGCTAGTGCCGTGTGTCAGAGCCTCACATCTGAAACACCCCAGCCTTCTCCAGGGCTCTGAGTCCGTGGCTGTGTGCAGTCAGCGATCCCAGGATCAGCCAGTCACTCAGTCACTCACTCAGACAGTCACTCAGTCAGTCACTCAGTCACTCAAACACTCAGTCAGTCACTCACTCAATTACTCACTCACTCAGTCACTCAGTCACTCACTCAGTAGTGCTAGTGCCGTGTGTCACTGTGAGTGGTGGTAGTGGTAGTGCCGTGTGTCACTGTGAGTGAGTGGTGGTAGTGGTAGTGCCGTGTGTCAGAGCCTCACATCTGAAACACCCCAGCCTTCTCCAGGGCTCTGAGTCCGTGGCTGTGGGCAGTCAGCGATCCCAGGATCAGCCAGTCACTCAGTCAGTCACTCAGTCAGTCACTCAGTCAGTCAGTCACTCAGTCAGTCACTCAGTCAGTAAGTCAGTCAGTCACTCAGTCACTCACTCAGTCACTCACTCAGTCACTCACTCGGTCAGTCAGTCACTCAGTCAGTCAGTCACTCAGTCAGTCAGTCACTCACTCAGTAGTGGTAGTACCGTGTGTCACTGTGAGTGAGTGGTGCTAGTGGTAGTGCCGTGTGTCAGAGCCTCACATCTGAAACACCCCAGCCTTCTCCAGGGCTCTGAGTCCGTGGCTGTGTGCAGTCAGCGATCCCAGGATCAGCCAGTCAGTCAGTCACTCACTCAGTCAGTCAGTCAGTCAGACACTCACTCAGTCATTCACTCACTCAGTCAGTCACTCACTCAGTCACTCAGTCAGTCACTCAGTCACTCAGTCACTCAAACACTCAGTCAGTCACTCACTCAATTACTCACTCACTCAGTCACTCAGTCACTCACTCAGTAGTGCTAGTGCCGTGTGTCACTGTGAGTGAGTGGTGGTAGTGGTAGTGCCGTGTGTCAGAGCCTCACATCTGAAACACCCCAGCCTTCTCCAGGGCTCTGAGTCCGTGGCTGTGTGCAGTCAGCGATCCCTGGATCAGCCAGTCACTCAGTCAGTCACTCAGTCACTCAGTCAGTCAGTCATTCACTCAGTCAGTCACTCAGACAGTCACTCACTCAGTCAGTCAGTCACTCAGTCAGTCAGTCACTCAGTCATTCACTCAGTCACTCAGTCAGTCACTCAGTCACTCAAACACTCAGTCAGTCACTCACTCAATTACTCACTCACTCAGTCACTCACTCAGTAGTGCTAGTGCCGTGTGTCACTGTGAGTGGTGGTAGTGGTAGTGCCGTGTGTCACTGAGTGGTGGTAGTGGTAGTGCCGTGTGTCAGAGCCTCACATCTGAAACACCCCAG